AACAAATATTAGCCACAAGAAATATTTAGTATTTGGTTATAAAACAATCCTACATTCACTATCAGAAAATAGAATTTTGACAAATACAAAGGAGCAAAGAAAACTCGTTAAGGATTTAAGAAATATACAAACATTATACATTTGAAACAAATAGCAAAAATTTCTACTTTTTTATGAATTTGCTAATCCCGTATCAAATTTTTACAGGATCCATCAGTACCTTTCATTCATATACAAGTATTAGTTTGGTTATAGATAATGAGGTGTACTGTTTCAAGCATAGCTAAGTGATATGTATGGAAGTGCAAAATCTTAGTCATCAAAATTTACCCTAATGATAAAGCTTAATATAACCTTACAACTAGAACTGGGGGATTAACTAGATTAATCGATTACATATGAGCTCTGATTAATGTCATGTCAAATAAGTGTTTTAATTGAAATTACCATTACATTGATTAATGCCATGAAATTAATCAGTTAATCAGAATTGGTATATTCAATTATTCTAACTGCCTAAGTGATTGTACTGTTGCCATTATGATATCTTATTATTAATTTTGATTAATTCTTGGTTGTTCAGCTCAGTTGTTTAATGTTTCTGATAATTACTACCCTAAATTATCCTGACTGTTTAAGTAAACAAAATATTAGCTATTACTACTTCTGTTGGCATGACTACATGTGATGGTATGCATGCATTCTGTTTGCATACAATTTGTGAATGTGAGGGTGTAGCCTAGTGGCCATTGTTTGCATAACTAGCCTCAGTGATGTCTGTTGTTCATGAGTACATTGTATGTCTAAATAATAGTGTAGCTTTAACTTAATATATTGCTTACTTATTACAAGCTAAATATGCAACCACTGTTACTTAAAGCAAGATTGCTTTAACAGAAAAACAAAACATTGCAGCATGTTAGTATTTATTTTTCTGTATCTGGAAAAAACATTGATTGTTGAATAACCTGCCCATTTAACTGTGTTTCTTATTCATTACTAGACATGGTTTAATTCTAAAAATATGTAATCCTGTTATTTAGGGTAAGATTGCTTTAGTTAAAGAAAGTTACAGCAAATTAGTATTCTTTATTCGCTCAAAAGCAATGTTAATTGCAGAATAACTCACTCATTTAACTGTTCTTCAGAAATTACTAGAAACGGACTAATAATGATCTAACAGTATGTAATATTGTAAGTTGTTAACCTATTTATATGAGCAGGTCTTTTGTTTAAATACAATTATATAAGAAACACTAAAAAGGAAAACAAAAGTCTGGCTGTATGTCAGTTGTCAGTTAAAAACTGCCTAATACAGTAAAGTTTAAGTTGTGATTTTTTGATTTCTCAACATGCATGTGTGTTTCTAAAGTTTCTTCAGTCTTTACTGTAAAATGTAAATATATTAATCTTTTAATGTTTCCTTATAAACTTCATCCTATACCAACAATTTCTTGCATAAAAGCTTGTGATGTTTTTATACTTATAAATTTATTAATTATATTTCAAGATTTTCACACTGATGCTTAGAATTAGGAACAAATCTAAAACATCTGTAATTAAAAGTTTGCTTATATTACTGTGGATTTGATATTTCTTATAATATTTTGATGTCCATCTTTGAATATTTTTAATCTCTGTAAAGAGGTCATTTAGTATCATCAAATGTTTTCTTGCCAAATAGTAAATGTTATACTGTCTTTGTTTTTCTAGGATCAGTGTGAATTTATTTTCTCTGAACTGTATATTATCTATCACACAATGAGAAAAAATATATTTACTGTTTTATCACATGAAATCTAAGGGCAATCTTTCTAACAAAGAATTAATTTAATTTGTTTTAGTAAAGAAGTCTTTTGAAAATTTGTAGCAAGAAACCCAATGAACTGTATTAATCATATTTTTACCTGGCTACAGGTTTTGCAATGCATTGCATATATGATAAACTTTCATATGCAACAGTTTAGGATTAACAAGTGTAACTGCTGCAATTGAAGATGTTCATCATATTAAATGAAGGATACTTCTAAAATATTAAACAACTAAAGCTGAAAATAGAGAAGATTAGTTTCATGTGAGAATTATTAATTAGTTGAATGTAATCTATTAATGATTCTGATAATGAATTGATTTGCAAATTCCACTAATCACCCAATAAGTCTAATTTTTTTTTATTAAAATCACGTTAACTGCAATTATTTTTTCCAGATATGCAGTGTAATACTGTAACTTTTAAGTAATCTTATGAAAACCTGTAAGGAGAAACCTAAGGAATAATAATGGCTGGAGACAGGTTGAATGGGTAATGAAGAAAAACTTTAATATAAGTTTAACATAACAGCAAATGTACAAGGTTTTGTCATCATCAGATACCTTGTCGAAAC